GAAACCAGGCTGATTTTTTAACACTTTCCTTGGAAATCTCCTCAGCTAAATATCCAAGTTCATCACTTTTAAGTTCTGCTTTCACCCAACAATAGAACTCAATTCAGCCAAGTTTTCTGCCACTTTATAACAAGGATTTCCTTTCCTTCATTTTCTAATGCTATGTTCATTTCCTCCTGAGACCTCCCCAGAAGAACCTTTTAACATTCACATTTCTACCAATATTTTGTTCATGACAATACATGTATGCTCTAAGATGACAGAAGCTTTCTCTACTGCACTCTTCACTTCCTTCTGAGATCTCATCAGCATTTCCTTTAACATCCATGTTTTTACCAACCACCCACCACTTCAAGGAAATCTAGGCTTTCTCTATCACGCACTTCAAAATTCTTCCAACTTCTATAAACTACCCAATTCCAAAGCCACTTGCACATTTTTAGCTTTTGTTACAGCAACACCCCTCTTTCCAACACCAAAATCTGCATTAGTTGCTTAGGGCTGTCACAAACTTGGTGGCTTAAAACAACAGAAATTTATTCTCTCAGAGTTCTGAGGTCAGAAGTCCTAAGTCTGTAGGGTAGGCCACTCTCACACTAACGGCTTTGGGAGGGAATCCTTCCTTGCCTCTTCCAGCATATGGTGGCACCATGGGCCATGGGTTCTGTGGCTTGTGGCGGTATAACTCCAATCTCTGCTTCTGTCTTCACGTGGCCTTCTTCTGTGCTTGTGTCTCAAATCTTCCTCTCCTTTCTCTTACAACGACACCAGTCATCAGATTTAGGGGCCACCCTAAATTCAGAATGATCTGGAGATATTAAACTTAACTATATATGCAAAGATCCTATCCAAATAAAAGTCACATCCAAGGTGTCAACTGAAAAAAGAAAGCACAGCATGAGAGCTGTGAGTTTCAGCTTTATCTGGCAACTTACTGAGGACTTCAGGCCGGGAGACAGCCAAAGGGAAAGTAGAAACAGACAGGGGAATGTTGGAGATACATCTGAGAGGAAGGTAAGTGACAGAGCAAGATCCATGAGGCGACTAAAGGGAACATGATCCAGAAAATGGGTAGCAGATTGACCTGAAGTAGCAGGTTCAAAGGGGTCATTTCTACTGAGACAAAGGAAAGGAAACAAAGGATGGGCTTTAATTTGGGGTGAGCTTAGAGGGGGAGGGTTAGCAGCAGAAAGTTGAGGAAATTCCCACTCCCTGACCTCTCGTTTCTCTGTGAAAGGGGAAGGGGTTGATCTGCTAATGTTAAGTGGTGGGTGGGGAGTAGAAGGTGTCCAGCAAACGTCAAAATATCCAAAGTGGAGTTGAAAGTTCCACAGAAACTGTAAACTGAATTTGCAGAGATACCAATCCACGCCATTTTTGTCAGCTTCTTCAGCGACTTGGGTATGGAATTAAAGAAGATATAGTTAAGTTGATCAACTGTTTGTGGTTTACTGTTTCTTCAGATCAGCCTAATATGACAGGAGGGTTGAAATCATTGGCAAGGAACTGGTTGTGGTGATGGGGAAGGAAGGAAAAGAAGGTGCTGCTAAAATGCAGCCAAGGGAGGAGATAACTCCAAGCCTTAAGAGACTGAGTGAACAGGGAATCAGGGTCAAAAACAGATTCAGGAGGAAAGATAATGAGTTCATTTTCACTATTTCAGGCTTCCATGTCCAGTCCTGTATGTGAATCCAGATGCACAGAAAGGAGATCTGTCCTGAAACTACAGATTTGTGAGACATCAGCTTAAAGATAGTAACTGAAGCCACGGAAATATACAGAGTAAAAATGGAATACGTTTTTTAAAAAACTGAAGAAAGAATCCTAAAACACACCTTGGTTTAATACTCAGGTAGAGAAACAGCAATTATCAAAGGCCTCTGGAATGGATAGGCCGAAAGGTAAGGAAAAAATCCAGGTGTGAGTTGTCTCAAAAGTCTAGAAAAGAGAGTTTCATGGTGGGGGGTGCGGAGGGGAGGCAGTCAAAATGTCAATTTGCTGTGCAGATTTGTAAAGATGACTATCTAAAAGATGTCTTATTCATCTCAGTTTTCTGGGACAAATGTGTGGCACACAATTGGAATTCAATAAATGTAAACTTCCATGGTGTGCCCATTCCAATACCTGCAAGTCTCACTCCAATATCATTTTAGAGCTATTAAAAAATGTAAAAAGAATAAACAAGAAGGAAGGAGGGAAGGGAAAAATATCTCAGATGCTCCATGAAGCCCAGATGCTCCATGAAGGCCCCATGTCTCTCCATCCCAGATCACTGAAAGCCATCCTATAAAACAAGGCACAATCTGAGTTTCCCCAAACCTCAAATCCCTGTAGGACACAGACTGATCACAGCAACAGTAAAAATTTGAAGTTTCTTGGCTCTTGGGCCCATGTGAAGATGTAGGACTCCCAACTCCTCGTGAATTTCCTACCCCCTACCACAAGTGTATTAAAGGCAAGATGTGTCTCACCACAGGTGCTTATGATGAGATGCTGCCATTTTCGCAGTAACTCTTACTGGGCAGTTCAGTTCCCCATCCTGTCACTTCAAGCGCAGAGATTTCTGCTAGATGCAGCTGTTGATCCCTCACCAGGAGGGGGAGCCCCTGGCATTCCTTTACCAGGCATGCTACTGATGTCTTCTGTCAAGCGCCATGACTAAACAGCCAGAGCCCTCAAAGTGCAAAATCCCATAGCTATCTTTGGGGAACTGTGCCCTCTCCCCTTTGCGTTACCACTGTTAGAGATGCCCCAAAGCAATGTTCCTCCTGCTTCCATTGCCTTACAGGCCTGAGTGGAAGAGGAAATAGAGCTCTTTCCATTTTTTTACTCATAGACCTCTTTTTCTCTCTAGATTCAGACATGGATTGTTGCTATATCTATGTTTTCATATCTGTCCATTCATTTCATAAGTGCGGGTGGGAGTTAAGTACTTAGTGTTAAAGACTGCTTACTTTAAAAATTAAACCACATGAATGAATTAGAGAGAACTGACATGGGTTATAAATGATTGAAGTCAGTCCAGAAGTCATTTTGCAACAGGTTTCACGACAATAAAAGCAGCTGCCATTCCTAAATCTTCACTCTAGTGTCCCGCCATTATCATACTGCAGCCGCCATTCTCAGGTCTCTGTCTCTGATGATCTCTGGGTATCTTTCTACTTCTGTTTCAAATACCAGGTTACAAGCTCTCTTCCCGCATCTCCAGGCCAAATTCCCAAGAAAGACACTGATCAAAGAAAGCTTATTACCGTTGCTCTTGCATGGACATCTATGTTAGGACATTTCATGGGCCACTGATCCACCTTCGGGTCAGCGGTGGCCATAAGGTAATCTCCTGTGGCACCAGCGTGAATACATGCTGAAAGAACTTCCCAGAAGACTTCTATGAGCGTGGCAGGCATTCTCAGGCATGATCTTCCTCCACTAGGAAATGAGAATTCCTATACACAGTAACCTTAAGCAGAGCTAATGTACTGAACACACAGTAAGCTTTTAAGTATTAGTTTTGGCTTCATGGCTTTAATTTAATTTTTTTTTTTTTAGCGGTACGTGGGCCTCTCACCGTTGTGGCCTCTCCCGTTGCGGAGCACAGGCTCCGGACACGCAGGCTCAGCGGCCATGGCCCACGGGCCCAGCCGCTCCACGGCACGCGGGATCCTCCCGGACCGGGGCACGAACCCGTGTCCCCTGCACCGGCAGGCGGACTCTCAACCAGTGCGCCACCAGGGAAGCCCCCATGGCTTTAAAAAAAGTCTCAGTGTTTCCTTTTACATGACATTTAAGTCCACTTAGGATTTATCTAAATTTGTCTAGTTTTATCTATTAATGTATCTTCCCTTGAAATCTAATAATAGATAACATTTTGGGGGGCTAACAATATGCCCGGCAGTTTTCTCCGAGTGTTACATGGATTCACTGATTTAATCCTTACAACACAAAGTACTATTATCCCTATTTTACTAGTAAGAAAACTGAGACGCAAAGAGGTTAAATACTTGCTAGCTAGTAAATGGTTGAATTCAGACCCAGGTAGCAAGGCTTCAAAGCCCAGAAGTTAATCAGTAAACCATACTGCCTCTCACACAGCAACTAATATTACTAACACAATAACAAAACATAAATAATAGGCAACATGAATGATTCTCATCATGCACGTAACCAAACAATGGGCTAAAGATTCTACATATATGGATGCAAAACTGATGTTTTGCCCTGTTGCCATTACGAATTTGCATCATAATTCGTAGCCGGAGACAAAGCTATAACACTTGTCCCCCAAATTTTGATATATTTCATCTTTATCATTAAGTTCAGTATACTTTCTCATTTCCATTGTGATTTCTTCATCAACCCATTAAATACTTAGAAGGGTTTTGTTTCAATTCCAATCATTTGGGGCTTTTCGGTTTTCTTGTTCATTCCTAGTTTGTCTATTGTGGTCAGGCAAAATACTCTGAATGCTTTTGGTGCTTTAAATGCGCTGGGGCTTTCTTTATCACTCAGCGTATGCTCGGTTTTGGTATAGTTCCATGTACATCAGTTTTCCTCTATTTCCAACCACTTGCAAGGACTGACCTTAGCCCAGAAAACCTCGAAGGTCCCCTCTGACCCCAAGTGTGTGAGATTCCACGATAAAAAGTAACCGGTGAAGAGTTAGCTCTAGTTCCTATTTTTCTTCCAGTTACTCTTTTCCCCTTGATTTTCAAAATGTAACACATATTGCTTCTAATTAAAAACAGAATAAGAAAAAAAAACACTTGAATTCGCTGTACAGTACCGCGCTCTTCTCACGGAAGAGGAGAGACCGGCCGCCGTCCGTACGCGCTCGAGCTGCTCGTGAGCCCCGGGCGAACCCTGCAGGTCCTTGCTTACAGGCGCACCCGCGCGGACTGCGGCCCCGCCCCCTTCCCAGCCGCGTCGGCCCCAGCCAGGTCCGAGGGGCGGGG